TAGTGAAAAATACTCAGAATGGAAGAAAGAGAAGCAAGTTGACAAACAACAGACATCCTTTAGTCCCTGCTGCTGTGCTCCCAGCCCTTGTATGCAATACCCAAGCCTCCCTTACCCTTGAGTTCTTATCTTGGCCCTCACCCTTGAGTTCTTATCTTTTCCCTTGGAGGGAAACATCCAGTTAAGCTGCCTTTTGCAAGGATTTCTTTTATCCATGTCTTTAATAAGTTGTGTGGACAATGTAAAGTGACCATGCCAAGTGAAAATTAAAACAACAATATCTTTTAATCTATAAAATTAGTGAATTAAAATATTGTGACAATCTTCAGTGCTGGCAAAGGCAAGCTGATGTTGCTCATTAGAGCTGAAATTGGTACCACATTTCTAACAGTCAGTTTGGCCGTATGTGGCAAGATCACTAATAGCAATCATGCTCTTTGGGGTAGTAATCCTTCTAGGAATTACGAAGAGCAATATCAGTAACAGGTACAAAATACATATACTATATGAAAGAGATTTGTTAACAGTAAGTTAAGTAAATTATGCTCCACTCATATGATCTACTATGTCATTAAAATGATGCTTACTAAGAATATTAAATAATATAGAAAATTTCTGTGATAAAGAAGACAACCCTGTACACACACTATAATCCTGACCATATAATCCAAATATCTTTATTTATTGAAAGTAACTGCACCAAATATTTAAACATTGTTGCTTTGGGCAGGTGGATCACAAATAATTTTTATTTTCTTTCTGTACAGTATACAACGATTTCCCATTTTTCTGCAATAATAAGAACCCTGTTTCATATGTTCTTCTAATATATCTTCACCATGCAAAATTGGCCAAATTTCTTAGTTGTCTAATGACAGAAAGAAAACAACAGTCTTAGATGCACTCAAAATAGGTGCTATAGCTTGTGGATATATATATATATATAATTTTACTTGGCTTAATTAAAAATATAGTTTAATAATACCTCCATCTCAGGGTCATTTAAAACATAAATGAGATATTAACCTTCATATGCCTTTACATTCATAGTTTCCTTTGAATGTAAAATGTTGAGAAGTCTTGAGTGAGATGTCAAACCTGAACATGCATTGTAATCTATGAAATGTTGTAAAAATGGTAGCCTCTATGATGACTTATTTAAATGGGTACTTCAAAGAAAGCATTTGAGCTTTGATACCTTATTGCTCTTCTACACTCTAGGTGGCTCTTACATAATGAAACTAATAGTTATGCACGAAAGGACCCTGTCTGCATGAGGTCAGTATCCTACAAATGCCACCCTGATTTCCCTCTTGAGTTTCTTGGAGTTATCTGCCTCTTCCCAGAGGGAACCCCTGACTTTGCTGTAGGCACAGCATGATATTATTGCTCTCAGACAGGATGAGTACTCATTTTTCCCAGGTCTTATAAGGTCATCTTTAGCTTTCACCACTCTCTGAACATGGCACCTTATTTGGTCACCACCATTCCAGTCGTTCTACTACAGCATAGAGGAAGAAATGTGTCTTCCTAGCACACAAAATAAATTCCAGAACAACTCTCTGCTTAATTAAAATGCAGGCTGCTTTTGGCCAGCTTTTTTTTTTCTTTTTTTCTTTTTTTTTTTGGCCAGCAATTTGTCAAGAGGCAGTTTGAAAGAAATGCTGGCAAAGACTAGAAATGCTGGCAGAGACTAGATTCTGAGCTGAGTTCAATGACTAGATTAGTCATTTACATGGGCTCAACCACTTGCCCTTATCATGCTTCAGTATGACCACTTATAAAATGTTATCATTACATCTGTCGGGCTGCTGTGACGGTTTCAATGAGCTAACTTGTATATCCAAAGCATCTAAGAGGTCACATATTAGCTTAGAGGTCATATACACTCCAATGTTCTCTTCAATTTAGGAAATTTCTTTAGCATCTGAAAATTTCCAAGGTCAAAATATTCACACTCTGTTTTGAGAGGCAGTCTGTGGTGTTGTTAAAAATAGTTGCTGGAAAGTCCTTTATCATATTGTGCAGAAATCTGCCTTCCTAGAAAAACCCTGTCGTAGCATTGCAATGTAATTGTTTTTCCTCTCTAGTTGGTATTTCCTTGTCAACTGAATATTCCTATTTTCTCTCTTTGCTCCCAACCTCCATCTTCCTCTGTGTCCTGTCATCCTTTCTTTTTCAGGCAAGTAACTAAAGTTTCCAGTGTAGTATATGATCATAAGCGTTGGCTCTAAAATCTTGCCTTTATTATTTACTAGCTGGGCCATCTTGGGCAATTTACTTAATATCTCCATAATTTATTTTCCATATCTGTAAATTGGGATGATTATAATGTTACCTGTTTCATAAAGTTTTTGTACTGTTTTACAAGCATGTGAATAATCTATATAAAACACATCATAAGACTTGGCATAGAGAGTACATTTGATAAATGCTTATTGTTGATGAGAGTGATAAAGATAGTATGGTTTCAATACTTTCCTCAGAGGGCCAGGATATTTGGACACTGTAGTTCATCAATGACCTTCATAAATTATAATGCCACAACTAGAGTCATAAAAATGTTATAATCAGGGAAGCTCAAAGTACAGTGGGATATATACCACTTGATTTGAATATTAGCTATCTGAAATTGAGCAAGGTATTTGACCTCTCTAAGCCTACATTGATAAAATGGGGATAATGGTAATAACGTTATCTACTTGTAAGGTACAAACTACGTTCAAATCACCATTCTCAGCACTAAATTTTAAAATACTTAGAATTGTCTTGTCAAGAAGTAAACACTCTATTATCATGTAGAAGTTCTGGGAGGTTCAGGATACAGATGGCTGCCTCTAGGGTGACTTTTTTCTCATGGGCACAGTACCTGAGGTTACCCTGCCCCCGAGGAATCCCAAAGGCTCTGACTACAGCTCTGTTTGGCGCCACCACCACACACTTTTTAACAGGAAGGAGGTAAAGGGAAGGAGAAGAGGGTCAGGGAAGCACTGGAGGGAAAGGGAAAGAGGAAGGGGCAGTGGGAGTGGAAAAGAAGAAAACATACCAGGTGGGTGGGTGGTTGCTCTCAGGAGGGAGAAGAGGGAAAACCACCGACTTAAGAAGGGGCAGCTCTTCTTTTCCTTTGTCCATGACCAGGCTATTTGTAAGGGTCTCTAATCAATCATTACGATTTATATGAAAAGAAAATGTATGTGAAAAAGCGTCCTACAAAATTCACACTGTCACTTGCATATAGAGAGGCAATGGTATGGAGAACAAAGGATGTGAACTTTGGTATCAACACATTTTCCTTTTGTATAGTCACATTTTCATGACACCCATGATGAAACCTCTCCATTTGAGTACCAGGTTCAGCTGAGCCTCTGCCAAGTGTGGCCTTTAATTTGTTTGGCTAGAATCCTCTTAAAAATTATTTTTGCCGCTGATTTGTGAATTCTTTAATGCTGCCAGAAGAGTGGAAGGAACTCTGGTAGGGAGTCGGGGGAGATAGTTCCACTTCCTCCTGGTACTTACAGAAATCTGGAGGGTTGAAAAAGTTCTCTTCACTGGGAATGTTAAACCTCAAGCCTTTTTCTTGAATCTAGATAAATGCTTTTACAAATATTTTGCTGTTTAAAGTTTACTAATACAACAGAGTACATCAGTGCTCTGAATTTTGGAAGTTCATCTATCCCAAACCAATGGTTCTTAATCTGGTTTTTAAATGCTCTCCAAGTATTTCTCAATCTATTGACAGACTTGCACCATCTTGTCCCTTCTATGCATCCGTAGAGTCCCTGGCCACAAAGGTTAGCATTAGACGCCATGAATAATAAGAGCTGATACTGTGACAACTGCAGGTAGAACTAAAGAGAAGCCATTATTTGTGTATGTGTGTAAACACTATGCAGGCCCGAGAGCTTCTCGAGAAAGGAGACCTGTAGTTCACCAGTGGGTCTCAGGCTTCTTCTAAACCACCCACATTGGAGTAAAGCAGCTGCCCTCTTTAGTGATAGTTTCTAAAGATTCTTGCATTTCCTGATTTCTGGAACAGGAGCAGCAGCTTTTTCTGATCTCTTTTCTCTCTCAGCCCTTTCAATGCTGTTGCAGCCTCTGATTCCCTACATTAGACCCCTTTCCTGTTTGAAATACCTGGAGTGGTTTCAGTTTTCTCATGACATCCAGATTGATGCACTAACTCTGGCTGCACTATAGAATTGCCTGGGAAGCTTTTGCAAAATAGTGACACGTGGTTCTCACTTCTGGGAATACCGTATAGGTGTCTATATTTTTTATTGCTCTCCAGATATTTTCAATGGGCATCCCAGGATGAAAACCACTTTCTCAATTGCAAATTTGAATTTTCAACCTCAGGCTTTGGTATCTTTTCTCTCAGACCCCCATCTCATTGTCACTTCAAATCAGATTTACCAAGTCACAGAACTCACTTTATTTCTTGCCCTCAATATGTTTTCTCAACATATTGAGAAGAGGCCAGCAAGCAATTTCCAAAGTAAAAACCCTAGATTTGCAGACATACTTTCCTTCAGACAACTAGCCTAAGCCAGAATCCAACTGATATATCACAGTCCCCAGTATTTCCTTTCTCTACTGTGGTCATAGAAATAATATTATAAATGGAGAATACATTCTTTAGATGGATTTATCCTGTGATGTAAATAATTTATCAGCGATATAGGTTTTACCATTTAGTCTGGTGATCAAACCAACATTTAGAGTATTATTTTCTATGGAAAAATATTCTTCAAAAGAGCAAACACCTGAATTGTGGACTGCCTATCTGAAGTCAATAAAAATTCCTAAAGTTGCAGATTGAGGCCTGTATTCTCTTCAGAGTTTTAATAGAATGTTTTAAATTTAACATATTTTAATTGTCTTCAATGTCAAAGTAAGCTTTCCTTGGGTTTTTAGAGAAATATCTAAATAATACCAGGGTTACATTCAACTATACATATAATTATTCATTTAATAAGTATTATTAGAGTGGCTATTGCATACCAAGTATTGGGCTCGTCACTGAGAATACAGCAATAACTCTGATGTGGAATTTGAGGCAGAGTCAGTAAGTGTTGACCTCAGTTCACAGTGGAAAGTACCCTAAAATGCCAAAAATAATTTTTAAACATCTTTTAAAAATTCATGGATGAGTTAAAAATAAGTATAAAGTCTTAGTAGAAAAGAATAATTTAGTAATACATAAATCAAGAAAGGTAAGCTAGTAAGTGAGTACTAAAAGCAGAGGCAGCTCTGAAGTTATTCATCAATGCTGGAGACTTAGATCTTTCCTGTTAACAGATCCATATACACAGGACAACAGGGACAAAGCCTGGGCCCCATATAAGGTGTAAAGTCAGATTGGACTCAACCACACTAATATGGTTTAGCTGTGTCCCCATTCAAATCTCATCTTGAACTGTAATCCCCACAATCCCCATGTGTCATGGGAGGAACTCAGTGGGAGGTAATTGAATCATGGGGGCGATTTCCCCCATGCTGTTCCCATGATAGTGAGTGAGTTCTCACAAGATCTGATGGTTTTATAAGCAACTGGCATTTCCCCTACTGGGTCCTCATTCTGTCTCCTGCCACCCTGTGAAGAGATGCCTTCCACCACGATTGTAAGTCTCCTGAGGCCTCCCCAGCCATGCGGAACTGTGAGTCAATTAAACTTCTTTCCTTTATAAATTAACCAGTCTTGGGTATTTCTTCATAGCAGTATGAGAACAGACTAATACACACACAAAGCTACAACCTAAGACAAGGAAAACACTCGGGAAAAAAATCCACTCCAGGGAAAGACACAGTCTACTTACTTGTCCTAGTTTTAGCTTTGGGTGGAAAAGAAAAAATATATTCTCCCCACAAAAATTCATAATCATAAGACCGCCTTGTCAGAGTTTGGACAAAGGAATCTATACTATCACTGGGTCTCAAAAAATCCCATGTTGAAAATTTAGTTTGAAATGGCCCAGAGTTTCTGGGTATCTGGCAGAAGGTAACTGGCAAAAGCAAATGTCAATGTAAATATACATATATAAAATAATGTAATATATTAAAAGGAAACGATCTTCAAAAATGAATAGGCATTTTGAAAAATAACCAAAAATTACTTTTGGAAAATTGTATTTTTGAAAGTGAAAAATATACTAATAGAACTAGAAAGAGAAAATAAAAATTGGTGAACCATATAATAGACATGAAAACAATTGCTCAGAGTGCAACACAAAAACTAAATAAGAGCACACTGTTCAAGCTTCTTAGCACTTTACACATATTTCATCTTGCAATCCTTACAACAATCCTATGAAGTAGATACTATTGCTTCCTCCACTTTAGAACTGAGTGAACCGAGGCACAGAAAGCTTAAGAAACTTGCTCAAATTTATATGCCTACTAAGAGTTAAAGGCATCATTTCAGCCTAGAGAGTTTGGACTCAGTTCTGTTTCTTAGCAACTATGCTATGTTCCTGTAAGAAAACTGAAAATTACAAAAAGGAAGTCACATGGAGGTTAAATTTGTTCCAGAGTAGAAGATAAAGAGAGCAAAGTAAAGGCAATTTTTTTGAGAGATAATAGCTGAGAAATTTCCAGAGTTGATTAAAAACATCAATCATCAGATTCAGTAAGGTCAAAAGTTTTTAAGCAGGGTGAATAAAAAGAAATCATACTTAGACACAGCATAGTGAAACCACATAATACTAAGGAAAAAGAAGCTGATATTAAAGGCAGCCAGTTAGAGAAGACAGACCACTGAAAAAAATCCTCTACACAGTCAAGTGGCTTCTTAAAAGTGGCAGTGGAAGCAGGAAGACAGTTGACTATTATCTTTAAAAAATGAGTGAAAATAATAATCAACCTACAATGTGAACCCAGTAAAATTGTTTCAAGAATATGAGCAAAATAAAGACCTTTTACACAAATGAAAATTGAAAGATAATACTACCAGTTTACCCTTACTAAAGGTACACATGGAGGACACATTTGAAAAAGAATGAAAGTTATACAAGAAGGAAAATCAAATAACAAACGAAGAAATGTTATACTCCAAAACACTGTAAATATATGGGTAAACATACTTTGTATGAATCAATAATATCTAATTTATCAGTTTAAAATATAAGAAAATACTAAAATACCAGGCAACAATATTATATGACTTCGGGGGTGTTTTCTGTCTATGTGTTCTGAGACGTGTATTGTTTGAGAAGAAAGTAAGATTACTTAACTTCAGTTTTCTTAAATTAATGTGAAAATTTGTATTTGACAGCAATAAAAGAGTAAAAATAGAGTGTATATCTTCTGAACTAGTAAAGGTAAAAAATGAAGTAAAGAAGAAAAAAGCTTACTTAAGAAAAAAGAAATGAAGGAAGGAGAGGAAGGAATAAAAAAAGAAGGGAAGGAGGGAGGAAAGGAGGGAAAAGAGAGGAAGAAAGGAGAAAATATAAAACCTACAAAAATATAGACAAATAGTAAACAAAAAATTAAAAGGCAGAAATAGATGTACATATTATCAATAGATAATTTGTGTACCAAACTCTACAGTTAAAAATAAGATTTTTAAAATCAGACTTTGTGTCTAAAAATTGCTTTAGAAGGCCATTATTTAGACATGTTTTAAATAAGATGACTTGGAAAGTTTTGAAATAAAAAAAATCTTATAAAGTTATGTCTGACAAACACAAACCAAACAAGAAAGAAATTGATATGTCTATGTCATTATTACGAAACAAGCCTTAAACCATGTAGGTTGCTGCAACAGAAATAAGTACAGCCTGTTAAAAGGGAAAAGGGAGGAGCTCCTTATTCTTCTCAGAAAGGTTAGGAAAGCACTGAAGTAAGTTTGAGAGACAAAAAGAAAATAAACATTTACCTAATGTTTTTTGAGCAGCTGCTGAATCCTAACCTGAACCTAGGAGATTTATTTGCATTCTCTCCATTTAATCCTCATGACAACTCCACAATATGAATTATTAGCTCCAGGTTAAGTAACTTTTCTAAAGGCTTATGTGTGGTTGTGCAGAAAATTAAATCCAATTCTGTTGAACGAGAAAACTCTCCACATGAAAACTCAGAGCCTTAAGTATTTGTGTGTAGGGTTGACAGACAAAATGCAGGATACTCAGTTAAATTTGAAATTCGGGCAAACAACGGATGATTATTTTGTATAAGTACCCAATGCAATATTTGGAACAAAGTTGTACTAAAAAAATATTTACCATTTATCTGAAATTCAAATTTTACTGGGAGTCCTATGTTTTCATTTTCTAAATCTGGCAAGTCTGCATAGGAAGTGAAATAGAACAGAGGACAGAATTGAGCTGAGATCTAGTGGTGCTTCTCAAAGGCCTTTCCTTGGGTCATGAAGCAAGTCTCCCTCCATTCCTCTCCCAACAACCCACTCGAACATTGAAGTGAGAAATATATGGATGACCATTTATCTATTATGATTTATATTTCCTTTTATTAATAGTTATTACTATTTTCATAAATGAATATACAGTGAGGTACTGGAGAAAGAAAGAGACTTAGGAAAAATAATCATACATTTTCTTCTACATTCCATTTGAAGCATTTGTAAGAATTTTCTTTGCCAAATCACGATGAATCGTAAGATGTATTGTCTGAAGGTTTGCAAATGGAACTACTAGGAGTATGTTCACTATAACAATGTCCTACCACAATGACATAGTTCCATGCACAAGGGGTATATGCTCACTTTTCAGCATAAGCTAAGGATGCAAATCCTGTCTAGACTGGAAGAATAAAGCATCCACACTCAGGTGAATCAGACACCATTTCCTGGGACAGGTGAGTTTACCAGGCTGGTGGTAGGAGAAAAATATAGGTTGGACTCTTCTAAAAGAGAATATTGTTTAGTGGCAATATTAAAGTTTTGAAGATTTGAAGATCTGGCTTCAAATTTCATCTTACATATATAATATACTTGTGATATTTTTGGGATATCTTTCATATTTATCCACAGAAATATGTAGAAGCTGGGTATATGGTATAAATGAATGTAAACATTATATGACTAGGAGATTGTTTTAATTAATTTGCATGAAAAATGTCATTGTGTGTTTTTTGACTATAAACATAAAATCATAAGAAGGTACCTGTACCATTACATGTTACCTATACATGTTTGTATTTGTTTTCTATATTCAGAGAATAGGAGATTTTAGTTGAAAATTCCTTTTGACTGAGATCAGTGGCATAGCATGTGGTAGGAGAGGTTCAGAGTAAATCTCTCTCATGATATGCCTTACCTCATCTTTCTACCGTCAAGCTACAGTGGAGACAATCTGACACGGTGGTGGTAGATGATCTTGGTTTTCAGGTGGTGTTATTATGCTACGCTTTGCTGAAAGAGGAATATATAAAAAGGAAATTAGCATGCTGAGGCTCAATATGCAATGCCCTCCAACACTATGGTACTGAATTCTAATTTCCACATTTAGCCTCTAATTCTAAGTTTTCAAAAAATTTAAATGTAACAAAATACACTCTGCACTAAATTCAGTCTGATCACATCATTTTAGTTTGATGATTCAGAAGATGGTCCAAAGATCTTACGCCCCAGAGCACCAATTGAATAATTTATAAAAATTGAGGGATAGGGTATAGTGGAAAAAGGGTGAGTTTCAGCACTAGTTCTACCACAATATCTGGATGACCGAGGACAAATTGTTCAGCATCTTTGAGCTTCAGTTTAGCAAACAAGAGTTATCCTTTAAGGAATAATGAAAGGAAGGGCCAAGCATGGTGCCTGATAGACTGAAGGACAGAAAAACTATTCAATAAACACTTTGGCCTCACAAGATCCAGTTGTCACTATACAGATGGAAAAAGCAAATGGCATGAGGCACCATGCTGATTCTCTATTGTGTTTGGAAATAAGCGTTTTTAAAAATTATAAATAAATTAATAAATCCCTGAAAAACCAAAACCTCACAACGTGTCTATTTGTTCATATTTATTTTATATTTATTACACATATTTTCTTATTCAAAGCAACTTTAAATGTGTTAAACACATTTTTAAAAACCCAAGTTCATTTGGGATCTTTGTTTACTTATCATCTAGATAAAAAGTTTGCAAACTATAGCCAAAGGGCCCAATTCCACCTGCCACCTGATTTTATAAATAAAGTTTTATTGGAGCATAACTACACCTATTTGTTTACATATGATCTATGGCCACTCTTTCACTACATTGCCAGTTGGGTAGTCCTACTAGAAACTTTATGGCCCACAGAACCAAAAATATTTACTATCCGATTCTTCATAGGAAAAAAATCGCCAATCCCTGATTCTAGATCAAAGTATGTTTTCTATTTTAAGTAAAGTCAAAGGCAGGCCATTTCAACAGACAGGCAGGAATTCATTCGCATGCTCTAATGGTGCCCAAAGCACAGCTCAATAAGGTGACAGCACACCAGACTGGGAGTTTTGATGGTTAAAAGTCAGATAGATCTGGCTTCAAATCCCACCTTATGTAGATAATATACATGTGAGATTCTCAGAAGGATCGAAGTTTATCTTGACGTAGGATACAGAAACTGCTCAACAAATGTTCAACGTCTCAACACTTCTCCACCTTCCACAATTCAAATATATATCAGCTTTGCTCCTACATTTTCTTTTATTTCAGATGTGAGAAAGAAAAAAAGAGAGCAGCTCAAGTAAGATCACTCTAAGGCCATGACAAAGTGGTACAAAACAAGTCTACTGCACACTTTTGTCTAAGCACAGACAAAAACAAGGTCATTGGGCCACTCATAAAATACCAAATACCCCCTTTTCTGGTTAAAATTAGTGACTGACATTTCTTTATGTAACCAGAAATTTGTCCCTGCCTTCTGACAGCAAACAGCATCCAATACATAGCAAATCCCCACATTCCCTAGTCACCCAACCAAAACCCAAATCCTTCCATAGATTGTTTCTAACACTCTCTTGCTGAGGTGCCCCAAGATTTCCCATGGCTTGTGTTTTCCCTCCCTACAATGAGTCATAGGCCCTACACACACGTTCTCGTGGCCTTTGGCTGAAAGTCGTTGATTGATGGAATAGTGAGATAGGATAGTTTGGTTTTATTTATAGATGTTATAAAAACTAAAAACTGTACAATGGTGGTAGGGAGGAAGAAGGGTAATAATTTTGAATAATACTCTGTCCTAGGCATTTTTCACACATTATTACTTTTGATCCTCACAATTTTCATTTGAGTTAGATATCACTCTCTTCCTTTTACTTACACAAGAATCTGAGGCTTGTTGAAGCTGACCAAGGCCATGCATCTGGAATATGGCAGATTAGCTTGTTTCTTTAAAGTACGTAATAGCAGACAGAATCATCACTGTTTTTATAAAGAAAGTCTAGGAAATAAGGAATAAAATTACTAGCCTGTATTTCCCCCTGTGGCATAAACCTCCTGTATGTATCCCATGCTGCCAGGCACGAGGGCCAGGATGCACAGGTTGTCTCTGAATATTTCTCCCTCTCTTAAACTTAAGCCCTTAGAGCAGCTGTTAGTTATGTCCTTGGTATTGGCACTTACTATACAAGATTAGGATACAAGATGAGAGATAACCAGGCTCCTAACCTCTAGCCTTCATAATCACCTAAAGAGATTAATCAAATCCCTGGTGCCCAGAGCCTCTTCTCAGACCACTGGATTAGAGTTTGTGGAGAGACCTTGAAACTGGTGCTGATAAGTGGTTCAGGTGATTCTGAAACAAACCCACTTTGAGAATCACTGCCTTAATGTGCCTGAGTGTCAATTTCTTTGTTGTTTATCCAAATGCCATCTGTACACTGAGATTCAGTGAAGAGTCAACCTTCTGATCTCTCCACCTTCACTGACCTCCCTCCTTCCTAAACCACTTCAGCGTTCAGGGTCCACATCCATAACTCATGCCTGAGCGTGGAGGCTACTGAGACACACTTAGAGCTTGAAGTCAAAATTCACTCTCCTGACTGACTAGGTGACCTTGAGCCTTGATTTTTCCATTTGCATTATAAGGCTTTAAAGTTTTTAAAATAAACTTTAATGGTATTAGGACATATTCTAGAAAACTAGCTACAAAACTAACTACCCACTCAGTCATTTGGTTAATGATATTTACTCAATGTTCTTTTTCCATTTATGCTAACAAAGATTATCTAATAACTCTGTTTTTCTGCAAATGTCTCCAAATTGGCCTGTTTTAGATCTGTTCCCATGAAGAAAATTTGACACTTAACTTGTAATTTCTCCTAATTAAATATCTGGGGAAAAAACAGTAAAATAAGAATTATTACTTCTACCTCCTCTTTATAAATCATAAAGCATTTTACAAGTATAGAATTTTGGAAAGTCTTCTGATCTTGGCATTAGTTTTACATATATAAATTGTGTCCTTCTAACTAATTATAGCCTCCTGGAATGCATGGGTTATAAAAATGTCTTTGAATTTCTCTCTCTCTCACTCTCTATCTATCTATGATATTATGAAGAGTAAATTAGGTAAAATAATTTCTATTTTACTATTAAAATTTTTTCCAGAAAACTCAATTAAGGAAGCCTATATATGTTTGTGTCAAATTTACTGCATCTGAAATGAGTATGAAGGGTGACTGGGAGAGGAGAGAGAGAGTAGGCATCAAATTAATGTGACAATTGTTTAACTTCTTAAAAAATTATTGCATCTCATATCTAAATCTCTAAGCAAGGCCATCACATAGCATAAAGACTGGATCTTGTTCTACAAGGAGATTACAACCAAATAATAAGATTAAAACTAAACTAAAATTATCTTTGTAAGGCAGCATATGATGTGTTATATGAGTGCCATTATACTAAATGACATAGAGAAATGAGAACAATTCCATATGTGCACATCAGTGGTCCTTGCGCTGGGTCGAATGACGAGTTGCACTGAGGAAAATGAGGTGGTTGAATGCCAGGCGTAGATCATAACATTCCAAAGAAGGGAACTGACAATATATGTTTGCAGGAGCAACAGATGGAGGATAGTAGAAGGTAATGCATGAAAAGCACATAGCAGGGTACTCTTAGACAAGATTCCAATATGGATGCTCCTCAATTTTCAAGGGAGTTTTGTCTTTATAAATTCACTGTAAGTTGAAAATACCATTAAGTTGAAAGTGTATTTAACATACGTAACCTACCAAACATCATAGCTTAACCTCAACTACTTTAAACATGCTTAGAACACTTACATTAGCTTACAGTTGGGCAAAACCATCTAACACAAAGCTATTTTATAATAACATTATTATAAATGATTTTTAAGCAAAAGTCAAGATTCAGAGTCTGTTTTCTACTGAGTGAGTATTGCTTTCACACTATTATAAAGTTGCAAACTTGTAAGTCAATCATTGTTTAAATGGGGGATTGTCTGTACTTTCAAACCAGAGGTGGCTGGAGGCCAAGGTGTATGGGTAACTTATTTTTTCCTGTGACTCCAAGAACAGATGCAAGAATTTATGTTTAAGCAAAAGAACAAATATTATATGCTTTCATTTATACAAGGGACCTAAAACTGTCAAATTTATAGAGACTGAAAGTAGAATAGAGATAACCAGGGGATAACCGCCACACAGTGACAACATGACATGTTGGCTTGTCAATATACATTTTTTAATTCAAACACTATAGAAGTGTTTAAAGAGAAAGGATAGCTGAGTGACAGAAAGATGGCTAACTAGAAGCCCCTAGCACATGTCCTCACCACAAAGACAGACAAAACAATGAATACATAACTACATTTTAATAAAAATAGCTAGAGCAGAGTGGCAGAGTTCCTTAAAGAAGTAACAGAAACCTGAATGAACACAGAAACTTAGGATACCCACATAGAGAACAGAAGGAAACACAGGAACTCCTACATCCCATCCCCCAGCCAGGATCAGCTGGGAGCGAGGAGGAATTTCTCCCATTGTCAGAAAGGTGAGCAAGAGAACCCTAGCCTACCTCATCCACACTTTGAACATCTACAGACCTTGCCAGTGGGTCTCTACTGTCCTCACAGGCATTAAGTCGAGCTGAGGGAGCTGCCTGGAGTCCACACAGCTGTGCTCCTAGCAAAGAAGGAGTGGACACAGTGTCCCACCCCCAGTGGCCTGCATGGCTACTGTTATGCCATTTCGGAACTGGAACTATATTAGAGTGCGTCTTGCTCCAGGGGCATGGAGCTATGGGGGTCCCTTCATCCCTGAAGTTAAGCTGCCATGGAACGACCCCCATTCTGTGGCCTGATATCCACAAGCTGAGCTGTAAGCAATTGTTACACCCTTCCCTGGAGGCCAAGTGATAGTGGAACCACTCTACCTGCTCCTCCTTCTGCCCCCTCGTCTGGAGCTAAAGCTAAAGCTGTGCAATCCCCGCTGGGGAAACCTTGCTTTGGCAGAACAGCTCCATATACATCTCCCAGTAGTGGCTGTGCCCTGCCTTCAGGGCCCTAAGCTGACGCTGCACACTGCCTGCTGGGAAAACAGTGCCTTAGCGGAATTCCTTTATCTACCCTTCCCAGTCACTGAGCTCTACCCTTAGGGTAGAGCTGTAGTTTGGATATTTGACCCTCTAAGCCTAATGTTGAAATTTGATCCCCAGTGTTGGAATCCAGGCCAAACAGGAGGTGCTAAGGTTATGGGGGTGGATCCCTCATGAATGGCTTGGTGCTGTCCTCATGGTAATAAGTGAATTCTTGCTCTATTAATTCCCATGAGAATTTCCCTGAGAGCTGGTTGTTAAAAAGAGCCTGGCACCTTCCCCATCTCTCTTGCTTCCTCTCTTGCCATGTGATCTGCACACCTGCCATGTTTCTTGTACAGGCTGCAGAACCATGAGCTAAATAAACCAATCTTCTTTATAAACTACCCAGCCTCAATATTCCTTCACTGCAACACGAATGGGCTAAGACAGGGCCTGAGCTGGAGCTGCACGCTCCCTGCTAGGAAAACAGTTCTTCAGCAGAACAGCTCCATCTACCTCTCCAGTTGTTGCTGCGCTCTGCCCCTTGGGGGCTGAGCTCAAGTTGCACAATCTTTCCTGAGGAAATGGTACCTTGGTGGAGTTGCTTAATCTACTTCTCCCGGTTCTGCTGCACCCTGCCCCGAGGGGCCTAAGCCAAGGCTGTGCACTGCCTCCCAAGGAAAAAGTGCCCTGGCAGAGCTGCTCCAAAACCCCTCCCAGTCGCTGCTGCACCTGTCCCACAGGACCAATACTGAAGTTGCATACTGCCTCTCATCCCTTCTGATTACTACTGTGCCCTGACACAGGTTTCAGAGCTGAAACAATGCCAGACATCCCAGGAAAACAGTGCCTTGGCTGCCCAGGGCAGTCATACCTCACCAAAGTCTAAGTCGAAGCAACAACCTGCCTCCCAGGAAGTGGTGCCTTGACTGTCTGAAGTGGTCATACACTGCAGTACCTAAGCCAAAACAGTGCCCTATATCCCAAGGAAATGGTGCCTGGGTCATCTAGACTAGTCTTGCCCTCCAGGACTGGCTGAAGTGGCACATTGCCCTTGGGAACTCTGTGTCTTTACAGACTTCAAGCTAAGAAGCTGCACATCTAAGGCTGAATTGACAAGATACCCTATATCCAAGAAAAACAGCTGAGACACCCCATCCTACAGGCAAAATAACTCTAGCATTCTGCTTCCCTGGAGTTGGACTAGCCCGCTAGAGTCTGAATTACTGAGATACCTCTCTTCAGAGGGAGTAGAGTCATTGGTGTGCTGCTTCATGCTCCCGCAGGGCCCTAACAACTGTACCCCACCATTCTGGGATACTTGCTGCCACTGTACCTGCTCTCACAGAGTCTGGGATGCTGCTAAGCCCCACCATCCCAGGGTCTAGACTCACCACTATAAGGTGCTTCATCCCCTTTGTCCCAAGTTGCCACTGAGGCCTATTGGCTCAGTTTACAGAAATATAGCCATACCTGACTCCTCTAGACCATATAGCTAAGACAATCCTAAGGAAAAAGAACAAAGGTGGAGGCATCAAGCTACCTGACTTCAAACTATACTACAAGGCTACAGCAACCAAAACGGCATGGTACTGGTACCAAAACAGATACATAGACCAATGGAACAGAACAGAGGCCTCAGAAATAATGCCACACATCTACAACCATCTGATCTTTGACAAACCTAACAAAAACAAGCAATGAGGAAAGGATTCCCTATTTAATAAATGGTGTAGGGAAAACTGGCTAGCCATATGCAGAAAACTGAAACTGGACCCCTTCCTTACACCTTATACAAAAATTAACTTTTGTATAAGATGGATTAAAGACATAAATGTAAAACCTAAAACCATAAAAACCCTAGAAAACCTAGGCAATACCATTCAGTACATAGGCGTGGGCAAAGGCTTCATGACTAAAACACCAAAAGCAATGGCAACAAAAGCCAAAATTGACAAATGGGATCTAATTAAACTAAAGAGCTTCTGCACAACAACAACAACAAAAAAAATTTTTGCAATCTATCCATCTGACAAAGGGCTTATATCCAGAATCTACAAGGAACTCAAACAAATGTACAAGAAAAAGACAACCCCATCAAAAAGTGGGCAAAGGATACGAACAGACACTTCTCAAAAGAAGACATTTATGTGGCCAACAAACATATGAAAAAAAGTTCATCATCATGGGTCATTAGATAAATGCAAATCAAAACTATAATAAGATACCATCCCATGCCAGTTAGAATAGTTATCATTAAAAAGCCAGGAAACAGCAGATGCTGGAGAGGATGGCGAGAAATAGGTATGCTTTTACACTGTTGGTAGGAGTGTAAATTATTTCAACCATTGTAGAAGACAGTGTGGTGATTCCTCAAGGATCTAGAACTAGAAATACCATTTGACCCAGCAATCTTATTACTGGGTATATACCCAAAGGATTATAAGTCATTCTACTACAAAGACACATGCACACGCATATTTATTGCAGCACTATTCACAATAGCAAAGACTTGGATCCAACCCAAATGCCCATAAATGGTAGACTGGATAAAGAAAATGTGGCACATATACACCATGGAATACTATGCAGCCATAAAAAAGGATGAGTTCATGTTTTTTGCAGGGACATGGATGAAGCTGGAAGCCACCATTGTCAGCAAACTAACACAGGAACACAAAACCAAACACTGCATGTTCTCACTCATAAGTGGGAGTTGAACAATGAGAACACATGGACACAGGGAGGGGAGCATCACACACTGGGGGCTGTTGGGGCATGGGGAGCTGGGGGAAGGATAGCATTAGGAGAAATACCTAATGTACATAACGGGTTGATGGGTGCAGCAAACCACCATGGCACATGTATACCTATGTAACAAACCTGCATGTTCTGCACATGTATCCCAGAACTTAAGACGTAATAAAAAAAAGAAAAAAAGAAAGAAAAACAGCATGCAATTCAGCCCACCAAAAAAAAAAACAAAAAAGTCAAAGACAGTGAGAATTCTTAAAACAGCAATAAAAAATATAAAGTCACTCTAAGGGAATCCCCATTAGATTAACAGCACATTTCTTAAGAGAAAGCTAACATGCCAAGAGAGAATGGGATGATATATTCAAAATGTTAAAGGGGGGAAAAAAAAACTCCACTCAAGACTACACCCAGAAAAGGTATCTTTCAGAAATGAGAGATAAAAACATCTTTCCCAGACAAACAAAAACTAAGGGAATTTATTACCACTCACCAACCTTACCAAAAAATGCTCAAGGGAGTCCTACATCTAGAAACAAAATGACAATCATCATGAAAACATGCAAAAGTATAAAACTAACTGGTAGAGCAGATACACAAAGGAGAAACAGAAAATAATCAAACCTTATACTACAGAAAATCATCAAACCACAATAATAAACAATAAGAGAGGAAGAAAAGAACAAAGAATATACAAAACTACAAGAAAACAACGAAATAACAGGAGTAAGTCTTCACCTATAAATAATAACCTTGAATGTAAATGGATTAAATTCTCCACTTAAACGATATAGACTGACTTGAACCAGGGAGGCAGAGGTTGCAGTGAGCCAAGATGGCGCCACGGCACTCCAGCCTGGGTGACAGAGTGAGACTCCGTCTCAAAAAAACAAAACAAAACAAAAAAACCCAAACAACAATAACAACAACAAAAACAAAACAAAACAAAAAAAGATATAGACTGGATAACTAGGTTAAAAAAAAAAAAAGACCCAACTATAGTCTGTTCGCAATAAACTTACTTCACCTATAATAATACAGATAGACTAGAAGTAAAGAGATGGAAAAAGACATTCCATGTAAAGAGAAACCAAAATTGAGCAGGAGTAACTATACTTACACAGATAAAAGAGATTTTAATCAAAACTCTAAAAAGATATAAACAAGGTCATCCTATAATGATAAAAAGGATCAATTCATAAAGAGAACATACCAATTGTAAATATAGATGCCCCAACACCAGAGCACACAGATACATAAAACAAACGTTATTGAATCTAAAGGGAGAGATAGACTACAATACAGTAATCACAGGAGACTTCAACACTTTGTTCTCAGCATGGGCAGATGATATAGAGAGAAAATAAACAAAGAAATTTGGATTTAAGCTGCACTTTGGATGAAATAGACCTAACTGATATTTACAGAACATTTCATCTAGCAGCTACAGAATACATTTTTTTTTTTCATCAACACATGAAACATTTTTCAGGACAGGTTACATGTTAGGCCACAAAACAATCCTCAACACATTTAAAAGAACTGAAATAATATCAAATATATTTTCTTACAACGATGAAATAATCTAGAAATAAATAACAAGAGTGTATTAGGTTGTTCTTGTATTGCTATAAAAAATACCTGAGACTTGGTAATTTATAAGAAAAGAGGTTTATTTGGCTCATGGCTCTGCAGGCTGTACAGGAAGCACAGTGCCAGTATCTGCTTCTGGGGAGACCTCAGGAAGATTTTACTCATTGTGGAAGGTGAAGTGGGAGCAGGCACATCACACTGTGAAAACAGGAGAAAGGATGGGTGAAGTGCTACACACTTAAATGAGTGGATCTTGTGAAAACTCTCTCACTACCAGGTGGACAGCACCAAGCCATGAGAGACCTGCTCCCATGACCCAAATACCTCCCACCAGGTCTCGCCTCTAACACAAGGATTTACATCTCAACATGAAATTCAGAGGGGACATCCAAAGTATATTACAAGAGAAACGTTCAAAACTGTAAAAATGCATGGAAATTAAAAAAAAAAAAAATGCTCCTGAATGACCAATTGGTCATGAAGAAATTAAGAAGGATATTTTAAAATGTCTTGAAATAAATGAAAATAGAAACCTAAAATTCCAAAATGTATGGAGTACAGCAGAAGCAGTATTAAGAGAGAAGTTTATAACAATAATGGCTACATCAGAAAAGTAAAAAGATTTCAAATAAACAATGTAACAATGTATCTCTAGGGACTAGAAAAACAAAAACAAAACAAACCCCAAATTAGTAGAAGGAAAGAAATAATAACGATCAGAGCAGAAATAAATGAAATTGAAACTGAAAACAAAATACAAAAGAGAAATGAAATAAAAACTTATCTGTTTGAAAATATGAATGAAACTGACAAATGATTACCTAAACTAACCAAGAATAAAAGAGAAAATACCCAAATAAATACAATCAGAAAGGAGAAGAGACTGTACGATTAATAGCACAGAAATTTAAAATAAAAAAAGAATCACTGAAGACTACCATGAACAACTGTACACCAACAAGTTGGAAAACCTAGCAAAAATGGATAAATTC